GAGACTATTTGGGCAGTTCCAAATACCTAAAAATTTAATGGGCTATTTATGGCTCCGTGTGTGAAAATACGCAATTGGGTTAATTCAAGTACAGCCTGATTAGCTTCTAATGCACACTCATCCTTTTAGCAGTGTTAACAAAGTAGGCAAGGAGAGAGAAACGCTTCGGACGCTCCCCAAAATGGAGAGTGTTTTTGTGTTCTAGAAAAGCAGGAGTAACAGGTTGCTATTCACAATTGTGCAGGACCAGAGAGGCTGCCACTTAAATATATATATTTTTTTAAAAAAGGCATTTTACATGGGAACCTGTAAAACGGATGAAATGAGGCAGGCAGAACTGACTTGCGATGGCCGATGACTTTGCTTGAATGCTTTTGAAAGAATGGGCATGAGCGATGATACCAGACAATTCAGATTATTGCTTTGCACAGCTTTTCCCAAACTGGGTGTCTTGTAGGTGGCTGGACTTTGTCTCTCAGTGTTCTCAGCAATAGCCATGTTTGTTGGAAGACTCTGGAAGTTAAAAGTGGAGCACAGACATTTTGGGGAAGGCTGGATTAGCCCAATCTTGGGCTGTATACCCCTGTTAGATATCCAGAAGCTGGTCTTCTTGAGAACAAGTAAAACATTAGCACCAAGCCCCACACTCACTTTGCGTGTACTAATTAGCCCCCTCCCCAGGCATCCAGCCATAAGCTGCATTTACAAGGCATGATTCACAAACTGCATTTAATTGATTTAAATTTTGAAGACATACCTACATAAAATTAATTCGAATTTAGTCCCGGCCCTGCCCACAGCAGATCACAGATCATAGCTGACCTTCACAGATCTTGAAAGAGCTAAGCAAGTGTGGGCTTGGTTGGGAGAGCCCCAGAAGATCCCAGGGCTGTGGCTTAGACTGGGAAGTCGGGAAAAAAAGTCTTTAAAGAAGGCAGGGATAAACTACTTCCACATTATGGCCAAGGAAACTACACAGCAAGTCTGTAAATTCAGCAAGGGTCAAGCTCGACTCAAGGAAGACTTTATAACATTCTGTAACTGGGGACAGCATCTACTCAACCGTAGTTCAGCTCAAAAAGCTAATCAAGGTTGAACCTGCTAGCATGGGCGGAAAGCCACAAAGAAATCTAAGGGCAATAGGATTCTAAATATAGTACAAGGCCCAGAAATTTAAAAGGCAGGTGTAGTCTGCCTCATGCTTTCCAAATATAATTATTGCCTACATTTGTGGGCATTGTAGTTGAGCAACTTCCGATGACACTTTCAGGACCAGGTTCCAGTCCCCACTTGGCCAATGTTAGAGCCGGCAACTTTGGCATGGTCACTTTCTCTCACTTTTACTCTCTCTCTCTGCTGCCTCGAGGGGTTGTTTCATATCAACAGGCAGGGAGGAGAAAAATCAGGGCTGAGGTTGCTGGAAGGCAGGTGGGCTAATAAATAAAAGAGAACAGCGTGGTGTTGGAAGAACAGTTTATCCCTGCCTTTTAGAAAAATGGACAAGGGTGCTCTTATCAAAAATAGCTTTCGCTCTGTATGCTTTGCTGCCTGGCCCAATATGGTCTTCGTAAAAAACAAACGGAAAGGACAATAGAAAAAAAATGGAAAAGCGTGCCTGCCTCTCCAGATTGGGACTAAACAATGCATTAAGCCGGAAAGAAACTAAGCATTATGGCTTAGCATTACTCTCAACCCAGTCCCCTGGCCGCAACGGTTAGCACTTGCTCCGGTTTGTCTCTATGACAAATGGTGGCAAAAATAGATTCAAGGATGGGAAAATACGGGGAGGAAAAAACACCACCCAGTTGAGCATAATCTATGTTATGGAATTGGGGTGAATTTTCCCCCCCATTTAAGTTTGGCTGTCGAGCCTTGCCGAGTCACTGTGTCAGATCTTGGCCTTAATTGCAAAGGGCTGTGATTCTTGTTCTTCCTCTCTCTCTAATCCCAGCTCTTGATGTGCAAATTTCCTTTCCATCAAGGGCCGCCTTAGGAAAGATTTCCGGCTTGTGAATCAGCGGCCTTCTGACCCCCAAAGCAGAGAGGTGAGCTTTTTCTGAACCAGAGAGAGAATGCTTTTAAAGCCCCATCTAGGGACAGGAGTAACTGCCTTATCAGCACAGACTTTGTTTTGGCCTTGAAAGTGCACAATTAAAGGCTTCCTTAATGGACCTCCAATTTCACTGAATTAACCCTGAGGGACTAAAACATTTCTCTTTTAAAAGGTGGAGAGGGCGGTGGCTGTAGAAGGTTCAAAGATGTCAAGAACTGACAGCATCTGCTTGAAAAAGACCCCACTGCCCCTCCAGTGTGTTGCTGGAAACCCCGTTCGGACATGCTAGATTTCTTGAACGGAGATCCATACAGTCCTGTTAGCCCTGCTAGCTAAGTAGTACCGTTTGGCTATAAGGAGTCTCAGGTGACTATGGTTTCTTGAACCAGCCATGAATGGTTGGGTTCCCCACAAGGCAGAGCTGAAAATGGGGGCCAGCAGATTACAATGGTGGGTGGCCTCACAGTTCATGCTAAGCCAGAAACAAGCAAATGACGCTTGGCCTTGATTTATTTATTAAGTGTACACACCAGTTGGACTCTAGGCACTTCTTCTTCTTCTTCTTCTTCTTCTTCTTCTTCTTCTTCTTCTTCTTCTTCTTCTTCTTCTTCTTCTTCTTCTT